TCCCCTGTTCATGCTCTGTCTCCCTCTGTTTCAAAAATAAATAAACGTTAAAAAAAAAATTAAAAAAAATATATATGTCCATTTCTGTTGAGTCTGGCTACTACTGTTGCTTCTGCTATTTGACAGTGACTTCTACCAGCCCTAGTGAGCTCTTAGAGTGTCCCAAGTGCCAGGCTAAGCTCATTGACTTTTCATAACAAGGCACTGTTATCATAACCCCCATTTTATAGCTGAGGAAACTGAAGCTCAGAGAGGTCAACAAAAAACAATTGCCCAAAGTCGCCTACCAGCCAGTAAGAGGCAGGACGGGGGCTGGAACCGGAGCCCTATTCCCCGCAGTACTCTGAGGACAGGCCTGGTAGCATACATGCAAAACAGAGACAGTATTCAGCTCCCCCAGGGAAAGTCTGGGGACAGAATTCCCAGGGGGACTCTGCTGCGATGTCGCCAGGTATGAGATCTGGCCTTGCTCTTCACCATTATTCCATCGACCCCTGCCCCATTTTGCATCCCAGACCCACTTGTCTTTCAGGTCCTCGAATAGGTCAAGATCTCTCACGCCTCAGGACCTTTGCCCATGCTATTCCCTCTACCTGGAATGCTCTTCCTGTGGCTGACTCCTATTTATCCATTAGATACTAGCTTAAATGTCTTTAACTTAGAGAGGCTGTGGCAACCACGGAAGTGCACTGCTTGGAACTCCCTCAGGAGGACCAGCTACAGGGAGCAAGGCTGACCCATGGCCCCAGCTCCCCTGCCCCTTCGGATTCACCGCTGCGTTCACAGCCAGACCAGGTTTCCTCCAGGCTGTGCCCAGTCAGTCAGTGACTGAGCAGGTACTCAGGGGTGCTGGTGCCGGCCCATTCCTGCCCCAGGCGGGGTTCCTCTAGTGGCCATCCTTTGCCTGAGGACTCCCCACTGGCCTAGCCAAGTCTTTCTCAGAACTGTGCTATCATCACACTTATGTCCCCTCCTCTTTTTTCCTTCACAGGTCTTTCCCCCTCAGAAATATTTTACACATCTAGTCACATTTTTGTGTCCACTGTTTTGGGAACTCACACCCAAACAGAGGCCTTCCCTGATCCTGCTATGTCCCCGTCATATACTCTTTCACAACACTACCTTCTACCTGGGGCATCCCGGTATCTGGTTTCCCTCCACGTGCTGGGCACGCCGCAGTGACCTGCCGTATGGGCCCCAGGTGAAAGGTCGGCTAAGTCAAACTGGCATCCTGGCTGCAGCTGCCAAGAGGGCCCGATGGCCCCTGCTTCCTTACCTGTCTGTGATCGTGAAGCCCCGTCCAGATGTCGGCTGGGATCCCAGGCACACAGCTGTTCACAAGGTCATACACAAAGACATTCTCTTCCCAGCTGCAAACGTAAGAAACGCAGTAGTGTTACTCGTCTCTGTTCATAGGACAGAGTCAAAAACTGAAAGCAATCCTTGTCTTTTCCTTCGTTTTTCCTGACAGCAATCCTGTCTTTTCCTTCGTTTTCTTTTTTAACATTTATTTATTTTTGAGAGAGAGAGAGAGAGAGAGAGCTCACTCTAGTGGGGGAGGGGCAGAGAGAGGGGAGGGGAGACAGAGACTCTGAATCAGGCTCCACGCTGTGAGTGCAGAGCCCCATGCGGGGCTCAAACCCATGAACCATGAGATCATGACTTGAGCTGAAATCAAGAGTCGGCCACTTAACCGACTGAGCCACCCAGGTGCCCCTCTTTCTTTTTCTTTTATTTATTTAAAAAATATATTTTTTTAACATTTATTTTTGAGAGATAGAGAGAGACAGAGCACAAGCGAGTGAGGGGCACAGAGAGAGGGAGGCACAGGATTTGAAGCAGGTTCCAGGCTCTGAGCTGTCAGCACAGAGCCGGACATGGGGCTCGAACCAACAAACTGTGAGATCATGGCCTGGACCAAAGTCGGGTGCTTAACCGACTGAGCCACCCAGGCGCCCCTCTTTTTCTTTTTTTAATTACACCACCCATATGTGACTGTCTTTTCATGGCCACCTCCGGATCAGATCCATGCCAGTTCAAAGCAGATCTCAGCCCCACTATTCATCCTAAAAATTTACATCTGTCTCAAACACCCCAGCAAATGAGGTGGATTATATTGACAATATCATGAAGAGACAGAGAAAGGGGTTTCTCATGCGCTCTGCACATCAAATAACTTGATGGAAATCTCCACTAGACACTTTCGTTTTCTCTCAGAAGCCCTCCTATGCTGCCAGTCCTTACATATCATACCAGGTTTTTGTTCACATACCGCCTCCAAAATCTTTTGCCTCCCTGGAAAATTCGGCTCCGGGCTTGAGCTCGCATAGCCCACTCAGCAACACCAAAGCCCTTTGGTTAACAGGCCACCCCCGCTTAGAAAGTGTCAGCCTTTTCAGGCTGCAGTAACAAAATATCATAGACTGGATGGCTTTCAAACAACAGAAATCTATTTTTCACAGTTCTAGAGGCTAGAAGTCCAAGTTCAGGAGGCCAGCATGGTCAGGTGAGGGCCTTCTGGGTCACAGACTTCTCGCTGTGTCCTCACACAGAGGAAGGGGCAAGACAGCAATGTGGAGCGTCTGGTATAAGGGCACTAATTCCGGGGCGCCTGGGTGCCTCAGTCGGTTAAGCATCTGGCTCCTGATTTCGGCTCAGGTCATGATCCCAGAGTCATGGGATTGAGCCCCGTGTCAGGCTCCATGCTGAGCCTGCTTGGGACTCTCTCTCTCTCTCTCTCTCTCTTTCTCTCA